CCCCCCCCACACACACACCACGTTCGAACCTCATCTCCTCCGTCACCCCCACTCACCGGCCTTGCTGCTGTGCCCCTCACGCATGCCTCAGCCCCTTCGCACCTGCCATGCCCACTGCCGGCAGTGGCCGTGAGTCCCCCCGCTTTCTTCAGGACTCTTGCTCCAGAAGGACATTTCTGGCAGGCCCCAGCTAAAAAAGCACCCTTGTTCAGGTCATGCCTGCCAGCCCTTTGGCCCAGCCCAGAGCCTAAAACAGATAAGCACTCACACGCAAAGGCCCAATGAATAAAATTAAAATCGAGGCCTTCAGGCAGAACTTGGGGGCTAAAGCCAGCATATGCCCTCATCTGATTGCTGAAAAAGGCAACCTGAACAGGAAGGGGCTATTTCCCAGGCAGCCGAGAAAAGGGGAGGAGCCAGGAAAGGTCGGTTCCAAAGCACCACGCCCTTTTGGGGAATGGAGAGCAAGACTGGCTGAAGCAGAGGCAGAGGAGGAAGCTTGGAAAGCCGGTCTGATCGAGGGCACTCATACTTTATCTGCGAAGCAACAGGGAATCACTAAGGAGGTTTCTGAGGGGAGTAATGGCCCAAGAGCAACTTGCTCTAGAGGAGAAGACGAGCGGGGAATGAGACCAGCCACGGGGAAAACCAGTCACCAGGAGAGAGGATTAACCTGGGTGGGGGTGGTATGAGGGAACAACAAAATGGCACACTCAACAGGGCAGGACCATCTCCTGGGCAATCCCTGGGCAGATAACCGCTCAGAGCCGCCTACCCTGAGCTCCAAACCTGGGTGGCCAAGAGGGGACGGTGCAGTCAAAACAAACACAAACGTCAAGTGAAGTCTTTTTGTTCTTACAGGGGACAGATTCAGGGACAGCCTGAGTTGGAGGCACAAAATTCTCTAGGAAGTGGCTACATGGGCTCTAAAACTCAAAACAAATGAGACGGGGAGGGAACTGGGGGAGGGGTGTTTGTCCCACCCGGGTGGGCTGCGACTGCTGCGGCCCCCGGAACAGACCAACTCGAAAGCGGACACCCGGAAAGTGACAATTCAGACTAGCTCACGGTACCCATTCATTCTCAAGTGCCCCAGGGAAGACTTCCACTTCAGGGTTTGCCTCGGTGACATCTGTTTTATTCTAAATCTCTGGAAGTCCAAATCCCCTAACCATCTAACCATATAGCAACAGCACAGCAGGGTGGGGGAGGGCAAGTCCCTCGACTCGGAGAAGCCTAACGCGTCTACAAGGTCGGGATTCTCCCACCGCAACTCCAGACCCTGGCGCCCGGCCCCCAGAGTCCCTCCCCAAACGACTAGGGGGTCTCCTCTGACAGACAGACCTTCTCCCCAAGTCAGGCTCGACCCGCTAGCCGCCATGACAGCCCACTCCCGGAAGCGGGAACAAGCCCAGCGCGCCAACAGCTACCGCCCCCC